CTTACCAAAATTGATACTCGCGGTTTGATCTCAAATTCGCTGTAAATAATAATTAATTACTTTCGGAATTTACACATATTTCATTATCATCGATCGAAATGATAACGACTACGTTTACATAATGAAACACGTATTTCGAATACTTTTGCACCGGATTATTTTTTCGCAAATTCCACCACACTTTCACATTTTATCTTTTTAATCGAACACGAAATATCGTCTCTTTTCGTAAAATTCTTCTACAAAATTCGATACGGGGTGAGCAAATGCAATTGAAGAGAAAACCAGCTGTCGTTGCGAGCAACTCATGATACACTAGCGCATAACAGAATAACAAGTTCGGAAATTCTCTGGTTTAGAAATTTTTGTGTGTCACTGTGACACGAGATTCTGTTGTGCACCGTATAATTAAACGGTAGGATTATCTATGACTGCTGTTACTGCGGATAGAACTATGACCACACTCGATTCCGTTTACCACATTGAGAATCTACATACATGAATATACATATTTTCCCACGTGATCGTGAAATTCTGCAACCGAGGCGCGAGCTTCTTTCGAAGGATGACAATTATTATATTATATTCACGTAGGCGCAACTGTTACTGCAGTGTCTATGTAAGTGCGTACTTCGTAACGGATGAACCCATTTAATTAAGCGTAGGGTAGAGATACAGTCAGTGAAATAAGTATTCGTACAGGAACCACTAATTTTAAATTGGTTGTTGAATACTGCTTGTACTGACTGTAGGTACGAATGACCTATAGTTTTCTCTGTGAATTATTTTCATTTTTCATTATCGCCGAATTTTATAATATAACATTACATAATATATAATATCTCAATTATAAGTACTTTGTCGAATACTTAATTACTTATACGCTTGTAATATAACAGCATGATAAAATTCGATGTTTATTGATAAGCTGTACATAACAATGCAAAACGCGAATCAATGCTATTATCGTTAATTCGGAGTTAATAAATCACTAATGAACCCTCCGTCAAACGATAATTTCTACAATAACATAGGAACAATCACGTCACTTTTGGCATTCATTCGTATAATCGAATTAACGTGTTAAATAAAAAAGAAATTACCTTTTCACTTCACATTGCTCGTCTACGACTTAGTAAATCATTAATGAAACCTTCGCGAATCAATAATTTCCACGATAACGATAGACACACACGCGTCAATCGTGGCATTCATTTAAAACCGAATTATCGCGTTAAATAAAAAACTTCGCTACGAAAATCCCTTCACATTATAATTCCTGCCTACGTTGGACAGCTTCCAGGTTACGTTAAAACACTTTTCTCTGTGCGACGGCAAAAATTAAATTATGCAAATCGACTGCTTCGCACCGTACACAAGACAAAATTTCCCTGAATTATGGTCAGCGAACGCGGAAGGTGGACGGCGCGTATTAGACGAGCCATCGCGCGTAACTGCGAGCGATAACGCGTCCCACAGGTAGATTGTCTTTCAGATTTTGCTATTTTCTAGCAGTCAGCCTGTGGTCTAGGGGTACGATTCACCACCGTAATTCCAGCATATGGATAGAAACGGGTATTCGAGACTACATGCTGATTTTCATTTTTTCTAGCAGATTTTTTCGGTCAAAGGTTGACCCGGTTCGTTAAGAATGTCGACCCGTTAAAAACACGAATTTAATTCACATTTTAGGACGAATATTCATGAGTGTGACGTCAAAAGGCCTTGGTTAGGATAAAAACGAGGCGCATCAGTGATAACGTTATCGATACGGCCGGTGCACTCCGGTGTGTAACGGGTGGTTTTCAATGACTGAATGGTCAACGACGCCCGAGCGCTCGCGCCGCGATAGGAAAAAGTGGATTCACTTGTATCTTATTCGATAGTGTTTAATCACTGACCGAATCGAATAAAGGAAGTTTAAACGAATTTTTGCAAATATACGAGACTTGAAGAAATTGAACAGATTTTTGGTTCGTCGAGGAACTTTATAGCTTAACCCGGGCAACTGTTTCTTACCTCGGGCCGGATTGGACAAAAAAAAAAAAAAATATTTTCGCGTGCCTGAAAAGGCCTTCTGAGTATAACAGTTTTAATTCTTTATAACGGAATCTTTTTAAAAAAAATATGAAAGTATGGAGAATATATTCGATTAATTACTAGAAGTTAAATGCTGATGTTGAATAATTGTTCGCGAGCCGTATGCTGGTCATGCCTGGCTTAACCACTTGACATACAATGACGAGTTAGGGTCGTATATGCATTTCGTGTGCCAGACAATATTTGAGTTTAGCAAAGATTATAAATAATCACAGTATCGTGTACAAGTCGGATGCAACATATGAAAGTGACACCGATGGTAAAATAGGCTGACGCATTTTTTTTTGGACGCATCGTGTTCCTTTTTATTTATATGTCAAGGGGTTATAGTTACTTACTTGAGACTTCGCAAAATGTAATTAAATTAAATTTGTTTAATTTTGCGAATATTACGATATAAACTTTACTCTAAATATTGTTGTACATCATTGCATACTGTGTGAATTTTGTAGTTTCCTGCACATTCAAATTTCCTACAAATACAAATGAATAGAAATAAATAATAGAGATAAATTCTTACAAATAAATTTATAAGAATAATTTATTAGCGATATTAAATATTCTATTTCAAACACCCTATATGTGAGCGACTTGCCTACGAAATTCTGATTGGCTGACCTTGCATTGCCGATCACAGCGATTATCTCGTAAACGATAACGCGAATTAAAACAACTGTGATTCACGCAGCGTCGCGTGAAACCGCGTAACGTGCATTTCGCGGTCGGAAATAAAGAAAACATTGGATATCATTCGCAGGTGTAAATTGAAACTTAAATGTGAAACGCAGCGTCTTATATAAGAAAATAATCTACCTCAGCTCAATTCGTGTACTTTTTTGACTAATTTTGTAAATTTTATGTCCTTGGAAATTTTCAATAGTTTCTTTCTAGAAAGATAAACAGAAATTCATGTAACAGAGAACTTACACGTTGTCTTACGATTTGATTTAAACAAACATTTCTTGAACGTCACTCGCGGATATTTTGTAGTTGATAATTTGAATTTTTATCAACTTGACTGCTAGATAAAATGAACCGTATAACATCTTTCTTTTAAGAAATCCGAAATTTAAAATTCGTCCCTCGAGAGATTAATGGAAAATTGGACTTTAACATAAAGAAATCAATAAATGTTTATAATTTAGAAAGAGAACGTCATATTTTCATTTAATTCTAGTTCCAGCTATGGAGAAAGATTAATTGTATCAAATTAAGCATAATATGTTACATTAAACATATTATATTAAACATAATTTCAATAGAGAATTTCATATTTTCAGTTGATTCTGGTTCCAGTAATGGAGGAACATGTATTTTATACGCCGTTAAATTTTCAAGTTGATATCTTAATTACTTTTAGGGATATCATTTTCGCAAACTCGAAAGAACTTGTTTCGCGGAAATCGCGTTTAAAGTTTAGCGCGTACTTTAAACGTATATAACGGTATATTTATGACACTTACTCCTAATCTGCTGTTCCTGCCCTATAAAGAGGGCTCACCTCGTCTACGTAAAGTTCATATAAGTTTATATCAGTTTTCATAAACCTATGAGTTATTCTCGCTTATCTAATGCATTCAACGTTCATCTCTCGCACTTGCGATCGATGCTAAACTCCATTAAATATTTCGTATTCCTAAAATTAAAAAAAAAAAAAAAAAAAAAAGACCCACAATGCATATGCAAATTACACAAAAAATTGCAATTTCCACTGTTTCATTTTCGCAACGCAGATGTTTTGATGCGGTGGACCAAGCAAATGAATTTAAACCGTCATTATTTCCATGTATATGTACAACATACTTCCATGTACTGACCGGAAAAGGTTTTTAAGTTTTTCCATTTAAAATATTCTACAACATTTGCTGTAATTTTAAAAATTAATATGAAAATATTAACGTAAAACAATAGGACGATGACCGAAATCAATCTTTTAGGATAGTAATCTTTATGGAGTTGATCAATTAACTTTATCGAGTTGTTGCACTCGCATTAGTAAATTATAAGAAACAGAGTGTTAGCTATAAGGTCGCGCGTTGTCGTCAACGACCATGGTTCGCGCCGCAACGTGCGACTTCTAAGCTTTCAATTTTAATTTTTTGAACTAAACGTCAGATAAATAAACTGTGAAAATAAAACAAAAATCGTCGTGTCATTCTCTATAAGAAGATATTTTTCAAAAATTCATTTGACGAATATAAAAATATCCAGTCCCTGTCGTATGCACAGCTGTTGCATAGATATAGTTATATTATATAAGTATATGTATATAATTACGTATAATTATATTATGTAAGTATATATACAGGGTGTCCCAAAAATGTTGGAGGTCCTTGAAAAGGGTGGTTCAGGGGGTGATTTGAAACAACTTTTTCCTTAGCGAAATTGTTGTCCGAGGCTTCGTTGAGGAGATATTAACGGAAAACACTGACTAATCGGAGCGCGCGGATACCGATGGAGCGGCCGCGATAGCGATGGCTACGCGCTAGGTAGCCGCTCTCGTACGCGAACAAGTGACTCGACGTGCATCGAATGATATTGACGCGGCCGCTCAGCGCGTAGCCTTCGCTACCGCGGCCGCTCCAACGGTATCCGCGCGCTCTGATTGGTCAGTGTTTTCCGTTAATATCTCCTCAACGAAGCCCCATCCGACATTTTTGCAAAGGAAAAAGTTGTTTCAAATCACCTCCCGAACCACCCCTTTCAACGACCTCCAACATTTTTGGGACACCCGGTATATAATTACATATAATTATATTATGTATATACTATTGTAATTATGTTACAATTGTATGTTATGTATTAATATGTATGCAAATGTTTTAAATGCATTTTTTATAATTGCATAACGTCTGCTGTCTACTCAAGTAACTGACTATCGACTGGGATTAATACAATAGTTTTCGCTATACGTGTAGCGTGTCTGTCCATTGTCTCATTCTACTTCAGATTTTCGTTCCTTTTTAATTATTTAACCATGTTCCAGGACTCCGACCGTTCTGAAACTTTTACATGTGTCAGCTAAATAATCGATCATCATTCCTAAATTTTTTGATAGGTCTCACTCACAGGGTTCTTTGCAATTACCACTCGCAAATAATAAATCATTTATTTTCTACCCTTAATAATTAACAAAAATACATGAGATACAGTTTATAAGTACGAATATTTTCGTTTTTGTAGAATTCAAATATCTGAAATAGTAACCGAGAAAAAAATAATAAAGTTAACGTTGTTTACGCTATTACCCGTGTCTGAAACTTTGTGGGATGACGTTTTAGGTGAAAAGTAAGTTCGTACTGAATTTTTAATGAGAATTTTTACTGAAATTTGTTTATTATGCTTGACGACGCGAATCTACATACATTTACGTAATTTACTGCATTGAATTTACTTGCGACAGACATATGGTCCAGGACAGCAACGATTATGCGAACGTTTATTGTAACAATTATCTTTAGGTGCTATGAGTTCAAACAGAAGTGTTTCTTATTTAAAATCTATAGTAACTCCGAAAAGAGTTAATTTATTAGGTTGTCCCAAAAGTTTCTTTCGTAATTTGCGCTCAATTATTTTGTGCGGTAGCGTTAACACTTTACCGACCGGTTTTCCATGGCAAACAATACTTTCTTATTTATTACTGAGATAGCACGATCCCATTGTATGCTTCCATTAATATGTGGATTATGAAATATTATATAAATATAATATAATATAATATAATATAACACTAATGTTATGAAAATAAACAATATTATTGAATTTAAGTACATATATGTTCAAACGCTACCGGTCGGTAAAGTGTTAATATAAATAGACAATCTAATTTCTTAGACGTTGATGTTGTAACAGTAATGGAGCAAAATGAATCGTCCACGATTCACTAATGTAACATTACACATAAAATATCGTGTATGTATTACTTCTTAATAAAACGAAAGAAACTTTTCGGACAACCTAATACAATTATCCTAAAATTATCTCAAGCAACGTTATTGCGCGCAACTCACCGGAAATCAGTCGTTAGCAAAGTCAGAAATCACCCACTTCCGTCCAACGTACAAACATTCACCCTCGTCACACTTCCGATCCCGCTCGAATTCTTTCACAATCTGACGTAAAAAGTGCAACGGACCGTCGCGATCTGTCCACTGTTATTATCGAATAAAGTTACGGATACTTTCATAATTCCGCGCAACACCTAATAATCGATAAACCGAAACCCCGCGAACGGAACGTATCGAATGGATCGCACTTAAATCGAAAACAATCGAAGTATCGAACGAACCGTCGAAGAAATCGCTTTCGTAGAGACCACACTTCCGGGTGTCCAGGGCGCATGTACACAAATATGGCGTCCCCGGCGGGGAAGATTGCCGAGTGTACGCGACTACGTGGGGTTTGGCGGGGTTTGTCGGATCGATAGCGCGCATGAGAGTGCGCGAACACCTACGTCGGGTGATCGTGTCGACCTGGTCGCCACCGTGGAGTCGAGCATCCGATGAAGTATTCCCCGATGTCAATAGCGTACGTGCGTCCGAGTGACGAGCACCGGGTACGGTAGCTCCTCGACGAAGAACTCAAGTCGGCTCGTGTGTGTCCATTGCGCGCGTACGACAAACGTCATTGAACGCCGGCCGGTTTTGTCCGTGGTGGTTGGATCGCGCTCGAAACCGAGAAACGATCGGAACGGGTCCGTTCGCCGCGAGTGAACTCTACGTCGCGAGGTTATGTTCGCGGTAGTTAGGCGCGGAAGTACCGCGGGAGCCGGTATGGTGTCTCGTTGAGAGAAAGTGATATGTCCGTGATGTCTCGAGGCTCGCCCTGGCGCTGGCTCGCGCCAGGGACGAGGAACACCACGCTTTTTCTGGCCGTCGTCATCCTCCTCGGCTTGTTGTCGCGAGGTGTCGTCGCCGAGAAGAGTAAAAAATGTGAGTACAACCACCTCAGCCGTTTTCATTACGTTTCTCTTTAACCCCCTTCGTTTCCGTAACCACTTTTCGCGTGCGGTATGGTGCCGAGCGTGGAGGATTAGCATCGTTTCGAGACGAGTATGCGGTTTGAATATTTCGTGCCATGCGCTTCGGGGCTCACTTCCTGAAGTTTGCGATTTATCGAAAACTTCTGTCACGTTTCACGATGACGTTCGCGTTGTTTTGAAACGCATTGTTTGCCCCTTATCGATTCGATCATTCGATAAAGAATAAGGGCGAATATCGAGTGGTTCTGTTGTTAGTATTAGGCTGTCCCGAAAGTTTCTTTCGCGAGTTGCGCTCAATTATTTGATGTGGTCGTGTTTATGTAAATAGATAATCTAATTTCATAGATATTTATGATTTTTTTTTTTTTTTTTTTTTTTTTTATTTTATTTGAGAACCTCAGATAAGGTTCATATATACAGTAGTATGTATAATACAGTTTACGTGTACATTATATCCGCAGTTTACATTCTTTTAAGAAATCAAAAATACATAGACAAGCTGTAATGTTAGTTCTTGTTTGATACACAGGAGGAATGTACTAGTTATATTGAACAAACTAAATCTGGCCTATAGGAATGTAAATACATATGTCTACATGTATAAATATACGTAATATGATATATATATATGTAATACATATAATATACATATATACATATAATACATATAATACATACAAATACATTAATATACATATAATATATATATCTAATACATGTAAATATATATTCATGGCCAGATTGAAAAATTCTATTAAATATTTTATATATAAAAGAAGGATTAATTGCTATAATTCTCATTTTAATTTTAATTGCCGTAGATAATTTCGTATTGTTAAAATATCGTTGTAACAATTTTCAGAGCGTTTAATCGTTCATTGTATTATGGAACGAATATTTTCATTTTATTAAAGGGGAGCAGCCAATTTCATGGTCGTAACGTTTATAAATAAAGATACATAAAATGTTTGAAATGCCGTATTGATTAATAATTTCATACCAACTATAAATTTCATTATTATTTATAACAAACGTTTTCGAGTCTCCGTTTAAGTTCTTTTTTTTATTAAATTTCACGTGACATCGAGGAACACATTGAATTTTTATTGTTTTTTTCTTTACCAAACTGTTTGCATAATAATAGTCTCACGACATCTTTAATCGAAGACGTTCCTAATATAATAATTTTTATCAGACAAATAATATAAGAATCTGCTAGCGATGTATGGATACCTTTAATGAGATGTTTATCTCATTAATGCACAATTGACGGCAAATAAATTATGATACAGCCTAATAGAACTTTTTTAATGGCTTTATCGCAGTTAGATTTTTTGCGAGAGTATTGCGTCAGTTTCACTTTGTATAGTAAACATCGACCACTTTTCTCTTAAGCGCAACCGTTCTGAAATATTACGTGGTAATTAATACAAACAATACGTTCGCGTTGGAAAGTTTGAATTAGGAAGTTGCGGCTACTCGGAGGCGTAGCTGAAGGAAAAAAAAGTTAAATTACCCTCGAACTTTAATTAAAGTACAATACAGGGGAAGTTGAATTCCATTTTTCAGCTTGATACGTGAATTTCGTCTAGTTTAAATGTCCTTTCGTTTCATATTACTTTTCAGGAGAAGAAATAATTGTTAACGCATTTGTTTATACGCAATTTGTTCATAATTTGTTGACTTACACTCGAATATGTTATTCTATATATTAAACAATTATTTTTATTGATTACGACATGTTTTCGAGAAAACAAAGGAAACACTGTATTAGAAATGGATAAACTCTCCTTTAAGTATTAAATGTTGAATGACAAGAGAAGATAAACAATTTTCAATGAATTCCAAATTGCAATTGCAATCGCACTTTCTTAGCATAATTTGATATATTGAACAAATAATAAACAATACACTTTGTTTTCCACCAAGTAAGCCCATTTGGAAATGTTGATTTTTATTTAAAAATTTCTAATTTCCAGAATTTTAGAAATATAATTCGTGCCTTCATTCTAAGAAACGGTGAAATACGCAAATATACAAATTCACTTGAATAGTTTCAAGTTGGAATTGTTGGTACGTGAGAGAATGAATTTCTTTAAATTTGTTGGAAATGATTGAATTGCTACTTTAAGCATAAGATCGTAATGGGTTTGCTTTCTTTTGATACTTCATAGTTCCAGGGTAGAACGGGAAGAGCACGATATGTTAATGTAATCATGAACGCAGCACGAAAAATAGCGATTAAATCCAACGTTAAGCGAGTAAGACGAAAGCAATTCACAGCGCGACTCTAATGCGAGTCTTGAATATTAATGTTATACAAACATTACCTAAAGTTGCACTTTACCTCTTTACAGAGCATTTAGTACTCGCTTTGCATACACTGCATCTATGTAGTTGACATAGCTCGCGGTAAAACGTTATGTTGATTTCGGCACTGGTTTCACGCACGTTTATGATGATCTACAATTATGTACAATAAATTGATATTAATTTAATGACACATATCGTGGCGATAATTGTCTTCTACTTTTCATATATTTTCTTTTTGTACAAATCATTTCTTTCTATATATGAGCCATTTATGTTGAGTTCTAACTAAGAAAACCAAGTTCATTCATGTTTAACTTGAGATATTTAACACTTTATTTACCGGAAGCCTATTTATAGGCACTTTAATTCCAGTATTTAGCTTTTCGAATTTATTTACTGTGTTGATGGTTGTCTATTTACAATGTCAGTGTTTGGAAACAGACTTTCGATGTACCCAGTTACAGTATGGAGGAATTATTGTCAGCCTACATTGGCATATGCTACTGTAGAAAATTCTCCTTTGAATTAAAGACCGTTTCTGAATAGCCCGGTAGAATATAAAGTGTTAAAAGTTTGCGTTTCGATAAAATTAAAAATATACGTATTAACGGGTCCCCCAAAAATCAGATTTTTTTAATCACGCTTTCGTTGCCAAATCGAGGCAAATTTAACACAGCACCAAGTGGGCCGGACGAACCCGGCATTCAGAAGCGAAGCGATACGTTACCGAAGTTCTGTACCCGTACGTGGTCAGACCAGACCTGAATCGGGCCATACTACTGCCAGGGTCACGCTCGTAGTTCGAGCGCCCCGCGCAAGTAGATGAAATTTATAAATTCGTCAAATCAATTTAAAAAAAATATCTTCTTGTACAGAATTTTCATTTATAAATATATATCTACTTTACACTTAGTTAAATCCGTTCATCTGTTACGAAGTATATACTTACATAAACTCTACAGTAATTATTGCATCTACAAATTCGTCGAATCAATTTTTAAAAAATATCTTCGTATACAGAATTTTCATTTATAAATCTATATCTACCCTACACTCAGTTAAATGCGTTCATCTGTTACGAAGTATATGCTTACATAAACTCCACAGTAAACTCTATCGCATCTACGCGAATAAGAATAGTATTCCACAGGGGTAGAACCGCGATGCGCAGCTAGTTAATTCAATAAAATCCAAATATAGAACACGATAAGTTTAGGTAATGCAATTTCCTTTTACTGTATTATTAAACGAAGATCGGATCAGGAGCAACGTTTCTTTATTCTTTAGTTTTGTTAATCGTTCAATCATGATTCAGGCGCGCACCTCACTATTATTTTGTCCTTACTCCCTTCTTCCAGTTCTTGCTAATTTCTCTTCTCATCCCGAGGATTTCCCTTTTCCGGGACATAATAAACTTTCGTTTGCTACCGCTGGCTTTCCTTACACATTCCATGGTTGCACGAAGCATTTCCGTTCTCAGAAATCCAACGCAACTCTTATCATCTTCGCTGTCTTTGAATGGAATAATGAAGAAAGTAATAAAATGGCTTTCGTAATACCTGACGAGTTTTCCATTAAACGGTTAAAGTTTCAAATACCAACAGACATGTACGGTTGTTTTAGTTTTACTGTTTTGACTTCGGTTCGTTCGAACGTAGAAAAGGACAAAGAGTGAAAGAGAAAGAGGTCCGAGGAAAAAAAGCAATCAGCGGAAGCGTATCAATCGAAAAAGAAAATACACGTCGAATCGAGTAACCTCCTCCATTTTGAAATCGGTTAATTAGGGATAGGAACACTCTCCGGGACACGTATCATCTTGCATTTATCCAGTCAATCCTGTCTTGCCACTTATCCAATCTTTACTCTACATTCGAAATTCGAATTTCAACCCTCGTAGAACAAGTTTGCGCCAACCCTTTCTGTATTGGCTGGAGAAAACGTCTTGGTCTAAAATGGAAAACTTCATTCGTTGGTCATACATTTTTGGAGACGTTGGCGCCGGTGTAGAATTATACCAGGGTTGCTAGAGGCCCTGGTAAACGGGCGGCTGTCATGTGAAAATTGCTGTAATCACGGCCAAGTTACCGGAACAACGTTAATTGTTTGCTCCAGTGGCACCAGGAAGATTACTGCGTTGCCGCGACCAGCGCACGACGAACGTGACGCGGGCCGATAAACGAAGCTAATTACGCCAGTCAAATTAGCTCGGCCGAATGGTCCTACCCGTACTGATTTGGCGATCATGTGCGATCGATGAATGTCCATATTATACTGTCGATCGAAACGTATATGTATCCTAATAATTGATACTTCTTGTTATTGATTCGAACGTAGGGTCACAGCAATCATCACCGCGTCCAGTGTAACGAGCGGAATTGTAAATGTTGCGATACTTTTGCGGTGTATTATTAAAAAATCTTAAAATATATTCACCCTTTTTATTTGAAATAGAAGCATACATAATTACAATTGAATGTGAAAATGAATGGAATGCAGATTATCCTACTTTGTATTCAATAATTAACAGAAGTATACGCGTTTTATTTGTCAGGGTTTATGTCGAAAGGTTCGCGGTCGGTCGCGTGAAACTAGAAGGCGGTCGCATTCGTTTGTTTGTTTTTGTTTTTAAGGTGAATG